TAAATATCTCTTCAGAAGGTCAGCTGCTGACACTGAAATCGAATAATCATTTGTCGTCTGGAAGAGCATCGTTGCTTTTCAGTGGTTGTAAGCTGCTGTGTGTGTCCTTCGGCTGTTAGGACATTTAAAATCAGAGTCCGCCTGGAAGCAGCATTTCATATCTTGCTATGGCTATCTGTCTCCAAGTTTTTCTGTCAGTAAACCCATTGGTCCTATTCGGTTTGCGCTGATTTTTTCTGGTTGGTTCGTCGGCTTTACAGGCGGTGCTACCGCTTGGATCAAGTGTCTTTGTATGGTTAGGATGCTGGTCTGGTTGGTCATAAGGAATTCTTTCAGGGAGAGCAATCCTTCGCCGCTACATGAACTTGTTTCAGACGGGTCATAGCCTTAAAAGTTCTATATAGTGCATTTTCAGAAGAGGAGTGGCTCAACAGTATATTAGTTGACTGGGTAACGTGGATCCTATTTTCGACCTTCCGAGGCTTAGTTTTGGATTTTAAAGGACTGTTTAGGAAAATGGTATACCTGGTGGAGGGCGCAAACCAAGCCCCATGTATCGTTTGCGTTTTCTTCGTAAACAAAAGAAGTCCCGAGAATCATCAGTTTTGACATCCATTCTCTTGATCAGCCAGTTCAGAAACTGCCTGATAACCATACTAGAAACATTAAATAGACAGTATACAGAACTGGCTCCCAAGCTTAGAATAAGAAAGTTTGCAATACGAATAAGATTTCGAGGGTACTCATATTGAGGAAGCTGATTTGGAACAAAATCACCAAATCCAATCGTTCCGAACCTGAAAATTATTGTTGTCCCTGACGTTTCTTCATAATCTTCTAGAAACTAGGTGAGTAACCTTTTTACATTTTCGCTCCCCAAAGTCGGATGGAGTTTAATTATAAAAGATTTTTTGGTGAAAGACTAAGTGAAAATAAAAAATGAAAGAGTTGCAAGTTATCTACTGAGCTATACCCGATGAAACAGAAGTAGAAGGCATCTAGGTAGTACCATCGTTCGGTTACCGTATAGAAACCTGCTGAGATCAAGATAAATATTACACACAACGTAAAAACCATAAAAAATACTTTGTAAACAGAAGGGCGCCAGTTGTCATCAGCACCATCTAACGATCTGTAATGAATGACAGTTCATTGTAGTCTGTCTGGAATCTTGTTTATCACATTTTTAAAGTAACCTGTGCAACAAGGCTGTCAGGTAATTGCAGGTAACTGAACGGTTATTTTCACATTTAATATTTTTGGCTCATGTTATTACCACTGGCCTAAAGAAGTTGAAATAAAAAAAAAAAATAAAAACTTTGACTGCGTACGCTGAGGAGCCTCCAATATCGTTAACATAAAGCACTATAGGAGTTGTACTATCCGATTGCCTTTTTTTTAGCTTTCGCTCGTGGAAATATCTGAAACAATTAAGATGTATGTATTTACACTTACTATCAGCATATTAAGCGACATTTCGTTATGTTAATTTTCATTGCATTTTGATTTGATACTACATTCCAATTATTTAATTTGGAAAAAATTTCGCATTTTACCTTAGCACATATGTGAAAACAGTGATAAGACGTTCAATAAAGAGGTTGAAAAATAAAACACAGCATGTGCAACCAATAAACCCGTATATAACAGTGGCTATTCGACCGGTCGTTGTACGCGGAGTGGCCATTCCAAAACCTCAAAAATCTTGTGCTGTTATATGGCTTATTGGCTTGCAATTACTACTCTTACAATATATCAAGATTGCCATTTCTGTGGTCAGCTGAATGTCGAGGAAACTTCCGAGGAGTCCTTCATGAGGTACACGGAAGATTCGCTGCAAAAGGCAGGGAAGCGAATATTCTTATTCTCAAAAAACCTTTATCTTTTTTTGGAATTTTCTGATTTTTGCATGCTGATTTTTTGGACATGATAAACTGTAGGGACTGCGTGCGTGAGATGATATCGCCATAAAGTAGTGGAAGTATTTCTGTACTCTAACGATAGTTTCATTGAAGAATGTTTTCAGTGTCACTTTTTCAGAAGCATTTTTTATATCTTTTGCGCTATCTGCACCACCCCTTATAGGTGATTTTTGCAAGTTGTAGGGCTGAAAGTGAGACAGGCGATGGTTTTGAGTTCTGTGCTGAATCACCTAGGAGAGAAGATGGCTAGTTTTATATCGGACAGAAAGCAACTTTTACATAGTTTTACTCACTGCTGTCAATGAAACCACGTTTACCTATTGTTGATATGACTGTTCCGGCGAAAAAAAATGAACCAGGGAAATCAAATCGTTCCTCATCGCCGGTGAAACCGGCTACTGTTAAGTTGGACTTCATTTCAAGGAGACGATAAAATTCTGCGCACTTCTCCTTGCTACGTCCACATATATATTTACTGACGGAGTTGAGGAGTCTCAAGTACTAAAAGAAATCAAATATTTTGGTTTGCACATAACGTTTGTTAGTCAACAGGTATACTATCGTACTGTAAAAACCCAAGTAATAGGAATCAGTTATTAACATTAGTGATTCTACGTAACAAGCAATTTTCTACTTACAGATGTATCAAAAATTGGTTGTTCTAATACCCAATTTTCTTTACTGGCCCGACAGGACGGTCAACGGTGAATGGTTTATGGAGGGCGAGTCAAAGATACTGTTTTACTTTTCTTAAAGCAGAATTGCCGGTTTGATAGAATGCATTTCTGTTATTAAGTTCCTTAGGTTATCGGCAGTCATTACGCCTAATTTTAAGCTACTTTTTAGCGTACTGTTACTTTGCCAAGTGTTTAAAGAATTGTAAATAAATAAGTATGAATTTACCCTTACTCTCGCCACAAAACCATCAAGTCATCAAATTTATTAAATAACCGCATTACCGGAAACTCATAAGCTTATGGACAGTTATCAGAAATAATGTTTTAAAAGTCTCATTTTAGAATTTTTTACGTAACAAAACAAAATTAGTAAAAAAGGTTCTGTCTTAATTCATTACTGTAATATTTATCGGGTGTTAGAAGGCTTTGAAAAAAGCTAGTACTTGGCTGGAGACAATGTTATAAGACAGCGTTTATTTTAAAAAAAAACTTAAGCTTTAGCTTAAGAATTTAGCTCCGAATTGGAATTAAGTTGAATATCGTCTTTTTAGCTATTATTGCATTAATTTTTTGGTTTTTTGTTTTAAAAGGCTCCCAAATTGAGTCTAGTGAGAAATTTTACATTTAGACATTTCCGTAACAAATTTTTGGTCTTCCCCTTCAGTGTTCGTTATCTGTATTTCTATTTTGATGTTACTCTTAGAAGATACATATAAAAATAAAATAAATTTTAAAAGTATATTATGCTAATTTAAGAAATATTTTTGTACTGATTGGCTCTTATTTCGTCACTATAATCACTATAGACTGCTCTTGTTGTTTGAGTCCTGAATGGTTCTGTTTTCTTTTCATTTATAGCAATTAATTTGTCACCTTAAAATTAACATTTTTTTAAACCACTAAAACTTTAGCTCCAATTTTAGCAGAAATAATACGGCAAAATCAATTTTGCTACTTTATGGAATTTTGCGAAGTCATAAAACAAAAATAGATTCAAGTTAACCTATATTTTGATTGACAACGGCAACAATATTAGATACCAAAAAGTCAGAAAATATAGCAAAAACAGAATTGCACTCAACTGTAAATTCGTGACAAGAAAAAATTTATATGAAGCCCAAAAAGAAAGGTTTAGCTAAAAAAAGTTTTTACTTTTCTTTATCGTATCGGTTTACAAACTAGTAAAATAACCCTTTTTTAGATGCTCAGAATGTTACAAGATAAAAAAAATTTACACGTCTCAAATTTTCAGAATATACGTCATTTTTATCTCAGTGGTCTAGATCTGAATTTTAGATGCATAGCCTAATTTAAAAAACGTTTAAATTTACAATGTTTGTCGATGTTATTTTTAATGACCTGAAGATAGACATAAAGAGTTCAAAAGTAAAATATCATAGTTCAAAAATAAAACATGTGTTTGTAAAAAAAACAAATTGTAAATATAAGTTGCCATTTATTATTATCTCAATTTTCTCTTCACCTCAAAAACCAATGCAATTACTAACGAGTAACATTAAACTGAAGAAAAAGTTTAAGCTAACAAATATTCCACTATTTTCCCACGATAAATTACAAGATAAAGTTGAAGACCGACTGCGGTGGTGATGTTGATTAATGTGATGAAGTTAGTCTAAGACAGTTATTGAAATAAATGAGTCGTTTAACTGAACATTCATTATCTGTTGCTCAAAAAACCAAAAAGTACTGATGTCATAGGTGTCGTTTAAGCAGTGTTTGATTCAAACGATATTTGGTCTGTTGGTTGTTCGCAATGGTTTTTAATTTCTGAACTTTATACCACCAGAATTACTACTACTGATGGTTACGAGCAAAAAAATTCTGATACTATCTGTTATTATAATATCTGTTACGGTGACAGTAAATAGAACAGCACTGATATGATATATGGTAGCTGTAGAAGCTAAGAATCTGCCTGATTTAAAGAAACATTAACAAGCATACTTAAGTCTAAATCCGAGTCTTCGAAATAAAAGGACGACCACAAACAAAAATACGCACTCTTAAGCACAGCACTTATATATATATATATATATATATATATATATATATATATGTTTAGACATATTTTTTATGCATTGTTTTAAGTTATTGACACGTTACAATGCTCTAAACTAATTTATTTCTAATAAAGCCTCTTTTATCTTTATTATTTTATTATTTTTCTAATTTTTTATTATATACACTTATTTTTAGATATAAATTTTTGCTATTCTGCCAGTTAGGCTTTAAAGTTTGAAAGACTAATTGAAGGAAAAAAAATTGAGGAAATAAACAAAGTTTCGTCAAACAAAATAAAGGCTTCAAACGAAAATTGGGCCTTTATGTTACGTCAACGATTCGGTTCAAATAATATTATTTCTGCTATTAAAATTGATTAATTTTGATTTTTACATCGAATAATTTTGTAGATAAAAAAAAAACAAACTATGTCTGAAGCGTCAGTTTTTTTTTTATGTCGTAATCCAAAACTTTCAGAATTTCATCATTGGCACCCACCATATTTAAATGTTTTCTAAAAAATTACAAAAATTTTAAGAATAATCGAAAAAATATTTGTAAAAATTCTTTTTGCAAAATAAAAGTTTTTGCATACATTAACAAAAATTTTTGAACTTTTTTTCTCTTTAATAATTTATTTTAGTAAACATAAAATAAGCATTAAAATAAAAAAAAAATAACTGTAGATTTTAAAATGCTGATTTGTTGTGAAAAATTTATAAATATCGGAAAAAACGGAAGTAAAAATTGACAGCATTGTATAGCTGCTAATTCTTTGTCATTCTCATACTTTCATTACAAATTTATTTTTACGCCTTTGCTTATCTTACTTAAATTTGGGTAAAGCTAAAAAAAAATACTTTTTTACTTAATGTTTTTAGTTAATAAACAAAAAATTTAGCGTAAAAAACTGTTAAAATAAACTTAAGTTTACAAAGCAGCAGAAGCCTAACCAGTCGGTTCCAAAACTGCCTTTAGCACACTGTTAACAGCAAAAATAGTCGTTTAAAAAAAAACGATGCTTTAGTTTTTTTCTTAGATCAATTGAACGTCTGATACCGATAATCAAAGGTGACAAACTATTATTTAAGCTGACATTAGATCTTCATCTGTAGTCTAAAAAAACCATCTGTTTAGATAAAAAAAACTTAAAATGCGTCAGTCAGAGAATCTCATTACAGCAATAAGCCGAACATTTGAATACAGCCGATAACCATTTGACCAAATAAAAACTGTAAATTGCTAAGATCAAACTAAGATGCCTGTTCTCGTTTTTACAGGTTTATTCATGAAGCATACTACAAAAGATTATGTTAAGAAAAAAAAAACAACTACACACAACAACACTACCTCTTCCCGTTCCTTAAGTTCGTTACTGTGCTCCAGATGATAGAATATCAGGGCTCCGATGGTCAGATACAGAAGTATGATAATTGAAAGTAGTACAAAACGAGCGTTTTCTTCCGATATGCCTAATCTTGCAAAACAACCGATCTGTAACACTGCCATTAACACGTTCAAACTACCAATAATTATACCACTTATTAGTTGCTATTAATGAGAAAAAACAAAGAAAAAAAATGAAGAAATGACAACAAAACTTGTAAAGTTGCTCTCTTTTATTAAGCAATTTTATTATTATGGAATTTATGAAGGTTTTACGAATTAAAGTTGCGCAATTTATAAAGTATTAAAACAAAGGTTAGTCATTTTTTCTTGCTTTCTCTTATTTTCAACTTTTTTATGTATATACTACACAAAGGCCGAAAATTTAATTTATTCTATTCAATAAGTGATAACAAAGTTGTAAGAAAAAGTGAAAGAAAAAAGTTGTAAAACGTATGAAAAAGAATGATCTCGTAAAAAGAGATAACCAGCAAAAAAAATTCTCAATTTTTTCCAAACACTTATACCCGTATTCTCAAATCTTTTCTTTGCTGTACCTTTAAAATTGTTGAATAAAATAGCCATTTTCTTTGCCCAACTAGTGCCATTAAAATTTGTACAGGAAAATGCAGCTTTGTTTTTCATATTCAATATCTGATCAGAAAGAAAAAAAATGTGAATTAACTGGTAATGCCTTTCGTCAACTTTTACTTCCAATGATGTTAGGTATCTGCGGAACAGTGCTGTTGGTTCCAGTAAATGAATAAGCAGTTGAAAAAAAACTGCAGGCTTTATAGAACGACTAAAGTTTATTGAAACAGTCATATAAACAAATAATGTTGAGTCCAGTAATTATTTAAAATCATCAAGTACTTTTGGGTAGTTACAGTCTGGAAAGGTTAGCTATTTTTGAATATTGAATAAAAAAAAAGCATTCAAAACTTGCAGCAAAATAAAAGTTCTTCTTTATTCTAACAGGAAACAATGTGGTTTCTTAATAATGAATATGTGTAACAGAAAAAAGAAGAAAAAAAAAGAAGTAGAGACAAACAAAAGATTTGTACTAAAAATCATTCATGCACGATCATAACCAGTAATTTTAAAACCTTAAAAACCCTATTATTTAGGTAAACTTTTAGGCTTTTATTTTTACTCAAGCAGATAAGATAGTTATTTTGGGTGAGAACAACCAGTTAATGTCATTTGAATTCAGCAGCAAAAAAAAAAAAAAAAACAACTGTAATATCGTTTTACAAACCCGTGCACGAGTTAAACTTGGCAACGTATCTGCACGAAGCATTTCACGCTGTCCAATACCACCAGCAAATTGTATCTTCTGCCTCAGATTCATGGACCCATAAACGCATGAGGATGGACTCGATCTTGCGCTCATTCACCCAGGTATCGGTTACGTCATAGCCAGACACTCAGCCGTAATCATGGAGTCCAAAAAATTTGTTGAAGTATTGCACTGCAGCGAATACAGCTTAATGTCTTCAGATTCACCTGTTTTTTCTCATAAAAAAACATACAGGGTTTCAAATTGTCAAATTTTAGACGCTTCAACAACTATGATTAACCGTAATAATGACGACGTTACTACTTGTGAAAATCCTGAAAATTTTTTTTTTCTATATTTCAACATTGTAACATTAATATTTATTAGTCGGTGACGTAAAAAAAAATAAAACATTCTCATATTTCGGAATTAAATGGTCGGATAGTAAAAGAAATAGTTCAGTAAAAATTGACAATGAAAACCGAAAAAAAAAAACATTTTTGTAAGATCCCCGGATAAAGATACGCTAATTTTTTGCCTATTATAAATACTGTTGATAAAATACAAAATCAGTCTGAAAAAAGCACCAAAACGACAAAAATTATATCCTATTTTCCACTGACAAACAGAAAATGTTAAGAGAGTTGATCTCTTCTTCTACAAAAAAAACTGTTATACGCTGGCTACTATTATCAGCCTCATCGGTATTAGTATCTGCAACAGCTGCAATAGTGATATTCTTAGCATCAGCACCATCACGGTAATCATCACAGCTTTTGTGCTGCTATCAGTGTCGTCATTATGTTCATCAAACATGTATTATATTGTCAAAACAAATAATTGTTGCAAAGTGGACAAATAAATAAGTAAAGAAACTGGTAAGTAGAAGAATGAAAGAATAACTTGACTTAACAAAAGAAACAACAAAAAGATCAGATAAAAGAGATTCTGTATTCCCAAAGATGGTAACGTTTTCTGACTGTCAGTTGCCAACATTGATCTGATAACATCCATCGGTTTAAAGTTCTTACTTCAATCACTGTTTCCACTACAGTTACTAACCGTTTGATAACACAAATTTTGAATGATACGTGTAACATATTCATTTTGTCACTTTTGTAACACCTTTTTTAACTCTTTTTTGAATTCAACAAAAAAAAAATGAATTAAAATGAAATAAAGAATAACATAGAGAAATAACAGAGAGAATAAAAACTAAAGATTTAATCGTTTTTGATTGAAATAAGTTGATGATAATTTTTTTTATCTTGAAAATTATCAACAATTTTTGAAGTTTAATTAGGCAACAGAAGTTTATTGTTTTGTATATTTTTTCTAAACAAAAAAAAAAGAGAATTGTTCTGATGCTTATAGACTGTTCTAATCAACTTCTTAGGTTTCCTTGTCGTAACAACAATAAAATGGATGAGAAAAGAGAAAGAGTAATGTATAAATTTTGAGATTGAATTCTGAATTCCTTATTTCATTTTTGGCTAAGACATATATTTCATTTGTTTTAAGTCAAATAATATTCATTTTTGTAGCTTTTTTCAAGTGAAAAATAGATCAAGATTTAATGCTACTAAAAAAAAATACATTAGTGCTAACGTTGTCATTAATGTCTAAACTACTGACTAGAAAATTGTATAGCAGACTGTTCGATGACCAACTGTCTGATTATATCTGAGCCAACAATTATAACAAATGTAATTTATGAAGGCAAAAATAACTTCCAATAATTTTTTTTTAAATTTTTTAAGAAATAAAATATTAATTGAATATCTGTAAAATTTATTGTAACATAATTTTATTATTTTGATAATCTAGAAAAAATACAAAAAGAGGGAAAAACCGATGAATGTCTTCTATTGAAAGGTTTAGTTGACCAGAAGAAAGAGTATATAAAAACAACGGGTAATACGGAACAGTGATTAAATGTTGTCGTCAAATTGTTGTTTTCTTTTTGCTCAAAACTTTGTTTTTTTTTTTTTTTCGCTTTAACCACCAAACGTTAAAGAATAACCAATTAATATCAGTGTTTTCTTTTTTTTTTTTTTCTTTCTAAAATTTTTTCCAAAAGTAATGATGGAAAAAAAAAAAGAGAATAAAAGAACAGAAGAGGAAAGAAAAAACATACTTTTTAAAGTTTTATTATCTTGCGAACAATTTTTCAGCAGTTTTTCCAGTAAACTTTTCTCATCCAATTATGTTTTCTTTCTTGGTTGGAGAAGACATTTTATCAACGTAGATCAACAGCTTTAAAAGCTGCTTAATCAGATGTTATGTTCCCTAAAAACTTTTTTGAATGCTTTGATTCTGTGCGAAAAAAAAAAAGAAGAAAGAAAAAAAGTAAGCAAACAAACAAAACAACAAATGAAAAGAAGAAAAAAAGTTGTTAATTTTAAAAAAAAAAATGAAAAAAAAATTTTTTTTTCTTTGAATTTTTGCAATAGCAACTTTTTTTTGGCTTAACTAAAGACAGATACAACTAATACGTATGTTTTAACACAAAAAAAAAACTGCCAAAATTGGTCAACCTTTACTGTTTAACGCTTTGTTTCCGCACCTTTTTCCACCCTCCACATTACTGCTGCAGTGTTTAGTCACTTTCTTATTAGCTTCTTTCTTTACTTTCACCGCAGTTAAAACAGTTAAGATTTTAGTTTTGACCAATACAAGAAGTCAGAAACTTTTTCAAGAGTTAAAGTTTCGATTCTTAAGCATAGAAAAATTATTTTACATAAGAAAAATTTAGAGGTGATTTGCTACTGTATTTTTTAAGACACATAAATGTCAGCAAAAATTTAATCTCTTTTTCCTTTCTGCTATTCAGAACTGCACTGAAAGTTTGTTGTTGAGAAAAAGATTGTCTACAACGGTAATTATTTCTGAACGTTAATCAAGCAATAAATGCTTGAAAGAAAACGAGACTTAAATCTTGTTTTTCCTCTTTAAAGCACAAGCTATCAATAATATGACTAACCAACAAATAACACAACAATTCGGAGTCAGACATTGCTGATGACGTCAGAAGCACCCCGAAGCACCCCGTAGAATGCTCGTCCCACTTTATGAACTGCCATAGTTCAATTGGATCCTTATGAGCAACAAACTAAGACTACTGCAATTACTACAATAAACCAGGTAGTTATAAAACTAAGTAAAAATAAAATGCTTTTTTTTTTCTTTTGTTAAGAAGACTAATGTATAAATGGCGA